TCCTCACTAACACTAAGAAAGTGGACCAGTCCAGTTCTGAAGTCTTTACACTGGTTCCTCACTAACACTAAGAAAGTGGATCAGTCCAGTTCTGAAGTCTTTACACTGGTTCCTCACTAACACTAAGAAAGTGGATCAGTCCAGTTCTGAAGTCTTTACACTGGTTCCTCACTGACACTAAGAAAGTGGATCAGTCCAGTTCTGAAGTCTTTACACTGGTTCCTCACTAACACTAAGACAGTGGATCAGTCCAGTTCTGAAGTCTGTACACTGGTTCCTCACTAACACTAAGAAAGTGGATCAGTCCAGTTCTGAAGTCTTTACACTGGTTCCTCACTAACACTAAGAAAGTGGATCAGTCCAGTTCTGAAGTCTTTACACTGGTTCCTCACTAACACTAAGAAAGTGGATCAGTCCAGTTCTGAAGTCTTTACACTGGTTCCTCACTAACACTAAGAAAGTGGATCAGTCCAGTTCTGAGGTCTTTACACTGGTTCCTCACTAACACTAAGAAAGTGGATCAGTCCAGTTCTGAAGTCTTTACACTGGCTCCTCACTAACACTAAGAAAGTGGATCAGTCCAGTTCTGAAGTCTTTACACTGGCTCCTCACTAACACTAAGACAGTGGATCAGTCCAGTTCTGAAGTCTGTACACTGGTTCCTCACTAACACTAAGAAAGTGGATCAGTCCAGTTCTGAAGTCTTTACACTGGTTCCTCAATAACACTAAGAAAGTGGATCAGTCCAGTTCTGAAGTCTTTACACTGGTTCCTCACTAACACTAAGAAAGTGGATCAGTCCAGTTCTGAAGTCTTTACACTGGTTCCTCACTAACACTAAGAAAGTGGATCAGTCCAGTTCTGAAGTCTTTACACTGGTTCCTCACTAACACTAAGAAAGTGGATCAGTCCAGTTCTGAAGTCTTTACACTGGTTCCTCACTGACACTAAGAAAGTGGATCAGTCCAGTTCTGAGGTCTTTACACTGGTTCCTCACTAACACTAAGAAAGTGGATCAGTCCAGTTCTGAAGTCTTTACACTGGCTCCTCACTAACACTAAGACAGTGGATCAGTCCAGTTCTGAAGTCTGTACACTGGTTCCTCACTAACACTAAGAAAGTGGATCAGTCCAGTTCTGAAGTCTTTACACTGGTTCCTCAATAACACTAAGAAAGTGGATCAGTCCAGTTCTGAAGTCTTTACACTGGTTCCTCACTAACACTAAGAAAGTGGATCAGTCCAGTTCTGAAGTCTTTACACTGGTTCCTCACTGACACTAAGAAAGTGGATCAGTCCAGTTCTGAAGTGTTTACACTGGTTCCTCACTAACACTAAGAAAGTGGATCAGTCCAGTTCTGAAGTCTTTACACTGGTTCCTCACTGACACTAAGAAAGTGGATCAGTCCAGTTCTGAGGTCTTTACACTGGTTCCTCACTAACACTAAGAAAGTGGATCAGTCCAGTTCTGAAGTCTTTACACTGGCTCCTCACTAACACTAAGAAAGTGGATCAGTCCTGTTCTGAGGTCTTTACACTGGTTCCTCACTAACACTAAGAAAGTGGATCAGTCCAGTTCTGAAGTCTTTACACTGCTTCCTCTCTAACACTAAGAAAGTGGATCAGTCCAGTTCTGAAGTCTGTACACTGGTTCCTCACTAACACTAAGAAAGTGGATCAGTCCAGTTCTGAAGTCTTTACACTGGTTCCTCACTGACACTAAGAAAGTGGATCAGTCCAGTTCTGAAGTCTTTACACTGGCTTCCTGTGTGTCAAAGAACTGATTTCAAAATACTTCTGCTGGTTTATAAAGCATTGAGTGGTTTAGGCCCAAAATACATGTCTGATCTCCTGCTACACCTACACAGGTGCTATATCAATGAACTTGCCTTGCCTAAAGCAGGCTTTAAAGATGTTTCAGTAAAGTGTAACAGACTGGACCAGAACACAGGTCAGAACTGTGCTGGAGAAATGACTCCGCCCTGTCGGTGTGTCTATTTGTGGGAAAGTGAAATGTTGTAAATTGTTATATTATAATATTCATTTGACATAAATCTGGTTACTTTCTTTCACCCAGACTTCAAGCGGAATGTTCGAGCGGCTCCGATCCGGGCAGTGGACGTCTACAACGTGATGTGCTGGACGTTGGGAGTGAAACCGTTGCCCAATAATGGATCCTGGTCTCGGGTGGAGTACTTCCTGAACGGCTCTGAGGGTCCATCCAAGCCCATGACCCTTTGCTGTATGGGGCTGTTAGGAATACTGCTTGCACTTTGGAACTAAGGCATTAAACAGTTAAGCGCTTATGGCATCTGATGGTAGCTAGAAAATGATCTGCTAGAAAGAGTTAGAACATGAAACCGTGTAGAGGTTAATGCATCTCAAAGGGAGGGGAAAGAAAGTGGCTTGAATATCTCATTGATATGGTTAGAGCATTTTTAAGGACCAAGAACTTGAAGCCTTAAAGGGCCTTTAAAGTTTTCCAGAACCACATCCCAACTAATGAAATGGACTGGGAAAAAAGAAAAACCTTACATGCCTCCAACACCTCAGAGAGGACTTCCATTCTAAACTCGGAGGTCCTCTCCCTCCCCAACTCTCCATGTCTGATCCAAATTGCACCCTAATGATTACCTGATCATTTTCTGCATACTTTCCTGGAAAGAACTCAGTTATTTGGAACTAATTATGGGGAGAGTCAAATAAACACTCCCTCTGCTGTAACAGTGCAAATGTCCCCTCTGTGGGACGAATAAAGGTTTTCTGATTCTGACGCACTGCTGATATCTGTGTAACCCTGATGCTGTAAACCTCGTCTCTCCTTTCTTGGAAGGTTTTATTCCAAGATGTAATTTCCCCCAGAGCGCTGTGATCCTGCATACCCTGAGCAGAATGAATCTTTGTGGATGTCACAGTAACCACTGGATAGACTCATATCGTCAATAATGCTGATGTTGCCTTCTTTTGATATGTGTCCAAGCTATCTGATATATTATTGAGAATGATGAAAGCATTTCTGATTTTCAATTGGCAAAGCACAAATAAATTAAGCTTTCGACACACTTTTTTACGCTTCGGCTCTTTAAAATGTTGTATCTGACTTCGTATGGTCGATGATTATGACCGAAAAGATCCTTTTTCATGTGTTTCCAACTTCGTTCCATTGTGCAATCCTGTGTTGTGTAATGGCAATAAAGCTGAACCTTGAATTCAGCTCTTCATGTCTTTGTGTTGGATCTGACCCTGTGAAACATGTTATGTGAAAATGACTCTATAAAATAGATTTGCTTTGGAAAACATGACTCTGGATTTTTTTTCCGTGTGCTCAACAGCTTCTTTTGTGCCAACACTTCAGATTGAGGAACAGCTGTGAACTTTCTATAAGGATTCGGCAGCTGTTCACAGTTCAGTCAGTCATATAGAGAGCATTCTGTCTGCAGAGTGAAAGATGTAGGGGGGGGGGGTTAAGCTTGGCGATAATGAGAGGGGCATTCTGGGAGTTAGGGAGGCAGTATCAGGATGTTCTCAGTTCAACAGAAAGTGAAGGTCGTCCTGCAGACACTGGAACAACATTCCCAAGCTGACATTTGAAGACCCACACCAGAGAAGGAGGAAGGAGAATCAGGCGAGGTCTTTGTGCCGGAACCAAGATATAAAACCTTATTTAACAATGTCATGTGATATGTTACTTCAGTACCACTGGGACCACTATGGAACTGGACATTTTATTTACATAGAAGCACCTTAAATTCCTGTCACAATTTGGCCTTTCCACCATACTCAGCCTCACCATGTCAGCCTAGGTTTGAACCTCCCCATCCCAGCAGTGAGGCTGACACTTCATAGGTCAACTGCCGTTACTCCATTATCATGACAGCGCTGAGCCCGGGGCGGCATTTAGCTGGATCCTGGATATTTCTGATTTCCTTTGTAATCTAGACTGACACGTATATACACTGTATATCCCAATATAACACTGATTCCCCGGCGTTTTCTTGTTCATCAAGACCCCCTCAACATGTCAGTGTGTGCTTGTATAATTAGCCGTTCGTTTAAAACAGGAAGATGAAGCTTTGCTGTGTTCCTGAATACTTTTGTCTTAAATGAATTACTTATCCGAAACATTCACATCTGGTTCTTCTTTATCTTAGCTGTATATGTGAAACACTTTGAATGCCAAATAAACAATCCGCAGCACGTGGATTTGATATCAGTCCTGTCATCAGAAACAAACAAGGAGTCAAAGAATGTCCAAGAATCCTCATATCTCCCGGGCGCTGTACAATAGCTGCCCACTGCTCCTCGAACTAGACTCCTGGTACTAGGATGGGTTAAAGCAGAGAACACATGTCACTGTGTGTGCTGTGTGCTCTGCATGTGAGAGCATTAAAGAGGGTTTCATCCCTCCCATTCTATTCCATCTCTTACCCAACATGAAGAACCCATTTTCAAAGATGGGGACAGCATGAAACAGGGATGGCCTGAGTCTTACCAGTCCCCTGTCCCTGTCCAAACAAAGGAAGAGTCTCAGCCCCCCTCCTCACAAAGGGACAGCTCCCATTTGGTTGTCTTTAGCCCCCCCTGCCCCGCCCCCAGAGTGCTGCAGTCCAGTCTTTGTCATATATATATATATATCTCAAAGGTTCTCATTTATACTATAGGGTAAAAGTGTTGAGTGTATATATATTGGGAGGCGTGTGGCGCAGTGGATAGAGCCTTGGTGTTGGGATCAGGGGTCCCAGGTTCAAACCCCACTGCAGTCAGCATGTTGTTGTGCCCCTGGGCAAGACACTTCACCCCAAATTGCTCCTGTGGGGATTGTCCACAGTACTGAATGTATGTACGTCGCTTTGTATAAGGGCGTCTAACAAGTAACATAATGTAATGCCCAAAATATTTAATATAGATTTTTCTATTTTTTTCAGGTGACGGCTGGCGGTAACCCCCCCCCCTTTTATAAAAGCAGCTGAAAAACTTCTGTATATAAAGATATCGTCAAAAGTATTGAATAAAAAATGTTTTATTCACAAATAAAAAAATATGTTTGCTGAAAAGTGGTAAAAACAAATATCTTATATATTTTAAAAGAAATTATGAAATCTTCTTTACATTATTAAAAATAATACATGGGGGTTTTCACATTCTTATTTGCAAAACATATTCACAACCAAAATAAAATGTTTGTACTGAATACATCAAACTACGACTTTGATTCCAAAGAGCCGTGTGTGTGAGTGTGTGGTCAGGGTTCAGACTTCCAGAGGCAGTGCAGTCCCGGCAGCCTCCAGCGGGGGGTGCTGCTGTGGATCCTCAGCTCCAGCCACTCCCTCTGAGCAGCACCCAGAGCAGCACTGAGAGCAACAGGAAGAGAGTTCATCACCACAGCACACACACGTCTGAATCAACACACCAATAAGTTAACACCTCACTTTCTTTTGAGGCTACCTTAACACACACATTAGGAATGATACCCGCTCCAAACCGAATCACACACGCTTGGTGTGGTTCCAGGAGCCCTAAGACAAATCAGATGAGTCCTGTTTCCACTGCAGCGGGGCTTGACCTTGAACATAGCTTCAACTTGGTCCCTGACCACTTCTCAGCATCAAACACCAAGATATGGGGAAGGCTTGGGGGGATTAACCAGAGCAATAACAGTTCGTGGGGAGAACGGCAGGGAGCACAAAGTTGGAACAGAAGAGAAAGTGTCTAGAACGGGGCCATTGCTAAAAGCTGAAGTCTTGTCAAGTATATTGCTCTCATTTCCACTCAGAATATGTCTTTACACTTGAGATGAAACTTGATAACTTAACAATGCAGTGAGATGTAGGGTTAAGTCAGACTCTTGTGGATCAGCCTTCTTTCAAGCAGCAACTGGGAGATTATGGGATGCTGCAATGATCTGTTTGGTGTTTCAGCCATTCAGAGACAGGTTCTGTATATATCTGAGACCTGTGATATGTCGTTGAAAAAGAGTATAATAGGGGACCTTTAAAACACTTTACCTGGGGGCGAGGTAGGGCTCTCCAGGGGAGGAGAGGTTCAGAGGAGGGAGGTCAGAGGTCACCACTGAAGGATCACACGGAGTCAGCTCCTCCCCCTCCATGCTCCTCAGGTTTGTGATACTGCTCCCGCCTGCTGCGTCCATGCTGTCTCTGCTGCTGGCCGGGCCTGGACACACATACAGCCTGCTAACACACTCCATCTAGTGTGGCACCACTCACAGAACCATCAGCTGTCTGTCTACAACTAGTATCTCTGGGAAATGAAGTTCAGTACTCCAGATGTGTCAGATCAATGTACCTGAATAATGTTATGATCCATCTTTAAAAAGCACTGAACTGCAGTCATGCAGTCAGAACCTCTTCATCCTCTGAGGATGAAGAGGTTCTGTTCCTGCATTTGAGATGGATTTCAATTGTATTTGAGCTTTCTTTATTACTTTGTTTAATATAACAAAAGACAAACTTGTTTATGAATCGTTTATCAGTTTCTCTTAAGGAAATTAAAGTTTCCACCAAAATGTGAAAGGGGGAGATAGAGGGGAAGACATGCGTAAAAGGGCCCCCAGGCCAGTCTGGTCCTCGACAGGACTGGGCCCCGGGGCCTCACAGCTGAGTGCCAACTACTGCAAAGTCCATTGTTTACGTTCTCAATGAGAAGTTTAGGGAAAATGCTCTGGAGGGGGTCTTTATGTACTATTTCTGGCTTCTTCAACCTAACCTACTAAAGCTGGACATGTGAGTCTGGGTCCAGAGGGTGGTCACCATGACTTCCTGTGATACTCACAGCAGCGAGTGAACGGTTCCCAGGCTCGGGGCCTCAGGTACGGTTTGGCCTGCGGCTGCTGGAGCAGGCACATCACGGCTGAGTCCACCTGCTGGAACACCCTGCACACAGAGGGGGGGGGGGGGTCACTCAACCTGCTATCCCAGACCGCTCTGGAATATGATCTGCACAAAGGGGAGGGCCCCTCACCCTAGTGTTTCAACAATAACAACATGGCTCTCAGAATACAATGTCAAGAAATGTATATTGAATGATTGTTTCAGCTCTTTCAGACAGCAGGGCAACGGTCCAACTGAGCAGGGCAACAGTCCAACTGAGCAGGGCAACGGTCCAACTGAGCAGGGCAACAGTCCAACTGAGCAGGGCAACAGTCCAACTGAGCAGGGCAACAGTCCAACTGAGCAGGGCAACAGTCCAACTGAGCAGGGCAACAGTCCAACTGAGCAGGGCAACAGTCCAACTGAGCAGGGCAACAGTCCAACTGAGCAGGGCAACAGTCCAACTGAGCAGGGCAACAGTCCAACTGAGCAGGGCAACAGTCCAACTGAGCAGGGCAACAGTCCAACTGAGCAGGGCAACAGTCCAACTGAGCAGGGCAACAGTCCAACTGAGCAGGGCAACAGTCCAACTCAACTCATTTACTAACACCAATTCATTTTCTATCTTTTTTTGCTTTATATGAAATGTCTGACCCGTCCAGTGACCAGGAAGAACATCCATATTAAGGAGCCAATAACCACTTAAGGCAACTTTCTCTTGATCTGAATCTTATTACAAGTTGACTTGTGGGTTTGTTTAAATGTCACATGTACACTTACAGTCTGGCACATCACTATAGGAATGGTCCCAGCACCTTCTCTCTCTTTGAGATGAGTGTACTTTAATGCTAGTCCTAGTGGAGTAAAGACATCATCTGAAATAATACCAGCTCACCGAGGTGTCGGGAATAGCTATATAAAGGGCAGGTTAGAAGTTATAAGACAGATGGAGGTACCGGAGGCTGAGCAGGCGCTGGTGGAGTTCTGCTGACAGACCGTATCTGTCAGACTGGATCAACTCTCTGATGGAATCAAAGTCCTGCTTCAGCTGGAGAGCCCCCTGCACACTGAGGAGGGGGGGGGGGTTAATATATATATATATATAGACATACGTATATGAATACATACATGGTAAATGGACTGTATTTATATTCAAGATTCAAGGGTGTTATTGTCATATGCACAGTAGCTACAGTAGTTATGGCAATGAAACACTACTAAACAATGCAACATATTATATATGACATAAGCACAAATAAATAATAATAAAATAAAAATAGTGCAAATGAAACAGAGTACGACACATTTGAATAAAATAGTGCAGGTTATGTTGCTAGACCAGTCTACAATGAATGTGGATGAAATTAACTATATACACATGTCAGAAAATCAATCAATCCAATAGGCTAAATGATGCAGAGAATGTTCAAAGTGACCAGGTACATGTAAGTAGAATACCATATCAAAGGACAGAATGTAAGGTTGAATATTGTACAGTGAAATGAAATACTGTTTGATCCAGTGATAACTATTAAGATAATAAATTCATTCATTTTAAGACGCAACCAGATGAATGCTTTGGGTTATGGAGGCCCTTTACTGAGCTCAGGTGTTTAACAGTCTTATGGCCTGTGGGGTGAAGCTGTCCCTGAGTCTGGTGGTTTTAGTCCGGATGCTGCGGTACCGCCTGCCAGACGGCAGCAGACTGAACACTTGGTGGCTGGGGTGATATATAGCGCTTAATCTTTACGACCCCTCAAAGTGCTTTACATAATAAAAGTCATCATTCACAATGAACAGCTACATATGTGTATAATGTAATAAGTATTCAATGATATACTGTAATTGTTTTACTGTAATAGTGTTGATGGATGTGGAAAGTGGTCATTTCTATTCCAAAGCATTATTATTTATTGGCATTTAGTTTGATCCAAAAGTGATTAAAGAGAGAGGGGCGTGAGATAAAACACAGACGGTCTGGCTGAGAGTCACACAGATCTCAAAGCTGTTGTTTGGTGGATAACATGGTGGTGGGCATCAATGTGCGATGTGAGAAGCAGACCTGAATTTGATCCTCTGTTTCAGGATGTGCTCCATCCAGGCCTCCATGAAAGCTGTGGTTGTGATGCTCAGAGCCTGGACACGGGCATCCTCGGACAGTGGAGCCACGCCCTCTAAAACCTGGCCAATCACAGTCTGAGCTGCCAGAGACACATATTCACTGGGGCTGCTGGGAAAACCTGCGCAGCGACAGAGAAATACACAATCCAACATTCTTTTAGAGGTCCACGTTATACAGCAGGGTGATTCATTTGAAGAAGTACTGTACAAATAAAGTATGTTATTGTTATGTGAAATGATGCAATGAGATGGCCCTCTGACAGGCACCAGGAGTGCTGAGTATGACAGGACTTTATCATCTTCCTAATAATTCGGCATCCGTGTGGAATTGGATCAGCAGTTCTGTAGAAAAGAGCAAAGACCCGGTCTGCCCTGTGACTGCCGGCACTAAGATATTACAGCGCAAAAGACGTGCGTCTAAATCAGAAAATAGAGCGGCCATGTTGGCTAACTATGGGACAACTCTGTATGCTTTCTTTCACTGTTTGTCAAGGCCTTCAGCCTCAGTTAACTCTGTCCTCCAAACTTTTGATTATTTAGATATATTTATCTTCTTATTTTTCGTTCCTGTTGTGTGAATGTTTTTCCTTTTTGTTCCCCCGACGGCCCCTCGTTCTATTGTAAAGCGTCCTTGGGTCTCATGAAAGGCACTATATCAAGTGATTGTGTGTGTGTGTGTGTGTGTGTGTGTGTGTGTGTGTGTGTGTGTGTGTGTGTGTGTGTTAAACAAGGTTTACCTTTGTCCTTAGCATTGCGGTACAGGGGCAAAAAAGTACCGCATTATAATGAAAGACATCTCTATAATGTTGGCCAAGCTGACTGACTGTTCCAAAAAGTTGACTACAGCTGGAGCCATGGCCGTAACTTCCACTGGGGACAGGGGGGACATGTCCCCCCCACTTTTTAAATGTGTTTATTATTTATTTTTTACGCAAGCGGTCATCGTCACGGAGGAGCGTCTTTGTGTGTGTGGCACGAGCGCATCTTGTGAGAGAGAGATAGAAAGAGAGAGAGAGACAGAGAGAGAGAGTTACGGGGGTTGTTGTTAGCATTTGGTGCTAGCTCGGAGCTAACGGAGATTAGTAGCTGTTTCAACAATAAGGAAAGGGAGAGAGAGAAATAGAGAGAGAGACAGAGAGAGAGACTGATAGAGTTACGTGGGTTGTTGTTAGCATCTGGTGCTAGCTCGGATTTAACGGAGATTAGTAGCTGTCTCAACAATAAGGAGAGGGAGAGTCCTCTCCTATGGGACTGAGAGAGATAACGTCAGCTCAGGGAGGTAAAGGACTCTGAGTGATTAGGTTGTAAACTTTAGTCTAAGTTATCTCAGTGGGTCTCAAATGGTTTGGTCATCTATGTAAACAAATATTTCCATCTATGTAATATTAGTTGTATATAAAATAAGTTAAGAAATCCTTCCAATGTTTGAAAGGGGAGTGATTACTCAAATATGCATAAATAAAAAGAAATAATGCAGACTAGGTAAGATAAAGATAGGAGAGAGGAGTTTATCAATGATTTGTTATTGGTTGTGAGAATACTCTAATGGTTTTTTGATTATTGAAATAGCTATACAGTTCTGTTTCATATGAGTGTTGAGAGCTGTATCCATAAATCTCTTAATTTGTGCACCAGATTGATGCATTTAGCTTCAATTTAAAGAAAAAAATCTTCCCGGACCGCCCTAGAGGATGTGAGGTCATCACAAATAAAACAGGTTCACATGGATAGGATACTAGATAAGTGTGCACACTCATTATATAGACTACACATTTTTCTTGGATTTGTTAACACTATAGTCTCTAATATATTTGTAGAAAGGCAGGAAATGGAATTACATTCAGAAAATGTTTCATTGCGGAGGACCCCCTGTTTTGTCCCCCCCCCACTTCTCAAACCAAAGTTACACCCTTGGCTGGAGCAAACACATATAATGGGGCTTTGACTTTATTGAGGCCAGAACATTTTCATGGGAGCTTTTGCACTCATGATGCGCACTCTGTAATGCTACAGCACACGTACAGAGTCTCACAAGTGAACCTGAACACGCACTGCACTAGTTACCTTCAACGGCCCAGGTCCTTTGATTCATTGATGATGTAGATTGCATCTATCAGAGTGTGGCTTACCATTCTCTTATGTTAGAATGTTCAAACAAAACCACGGAGATGGATGTATGCCAAAGCAATCAAGAGTGTGTGTATTCTTTAGTTACAAGCCGAGTTTACAGCAGCTAAAATGTTATCGTCTGCAGAGATGAGTGTAAACATAGACTGAAGACCCCCAGCAGTCAGAGGTGAGCACCTGTCCTGAGGCTGGGTCTCCAGTGTCCAGCAGAGGGCATGGTCTGCTCAAAGATCTCCCCTGACATCCTCTTGCAGTCACTGGAGAAGGTGTGCAGCAGCAGGGAGGAGAAGGTCTGATGGAGAGAGCAGCAGAGTCACATGACACCCACATCCTTTGCTTAGCATGATGAAAGAAGGGGAAAACATCTGGTCTTCCTAAAAGCATTCACACATTATGTCAAAAGACCCACAGAGCCTGTAGTCCCGTCATATCACATAGTTAGTCTGATGATAAAGCAGGTATAAATAAGCAGTAAGCTACTAGGCTCTCTGTGAGACGTGAATCTGACCCTTTAAACAGCAAGTCACACCAGAAGGAATCTGCCAAATATATATATATATATATATATATAATAGGATTCCATACCATACTCACAGCTAATCTAAGCAGGGCTTTAACTGTGTTGCAGAACGTGGAGGAAAGGGCAGCTTAAGATGAGGTTCTGAAACTAGTAAAGAAAGGAGCAGAAGAGTCACCTGCAGCTCGGACACCGCTCCGTCCAGCGCTCCCAGGCGCCGCCGCAGCAGGAGCTGGCTGTGGGGGTGGACACTGGAACTTTGGTTACTATCTAAATGTATCATCAGGGATTTAGTCTGATGCAGCATCATCTCCAATGACTCTGAGAGCACCTGCACACAGAGGACATCACACACACTTCATCAAACTGAGGCTGATTGGATGTTAGGGTTCAAGGCTACAACTGGTGCAATATCCAAATCACTGTCAATATTTGCTCAATCCAAATATGTGAAAATATCTGAATGAAGTATTGTGGAGTCCCGGCCTACAGATGGTATTCTACAGACTTCACCCAAATGTTGTTTGGTACACATTATCTTAAAAAAAGAAAAATCACATCATTTGAATATGTTTTTGAATTTAGAAGCCCTGACTCTAAGACTGTGAAACTTGGTCACTTATAACATTCTCTGCATGATTTAGCTTATTGTATTTATTGGTTTTCCTGACATGTAGATACTTGCACAATGGTCTGCAACATCATCTGGACTATTTTATTCTACTCGGTTTCATTTTGCACTATTTTAATGTTTTTAATTGGCATATCTAAACTGTAGCTTCTGTGCATATGATGATAACGCCTTTGAATCGTTGAATGTATCTTCATGCCTTATTCTGTTGAAAATGTAATATGGGAGAGTCTCCTGGCTGATAGGAGTGGGTAACCTACCTTGAGGTCTCCCTGTGAGATGAGTAGGAACTTGTTGAGGCTCCATGAGGACAGGAACTGGTAAGCCTTGGACATGACCCACACTGTAGACAGCTGCACGGTGGCTAACAGCAAGCTAACGGTCTGGCTCTGCAAAGTGAGCCTGGGGGGGGAGAGCCGTACTGAAGCTGGGGGAGGAGACACAGAGAAAGAGAGAGGCTATATTCACTGCCAACTAACAGAAATGTACTTGGTATAGAATATTTCCTCAAGCAATCAGTCATTAGGTTGGAAGAAGCGTTTCTGTCCCACCTGAGGGACATTGGGGGGGCTGGAGACAATCACACAATCCAAGACCAAGAGGACAGAGCTCCAGTTTGTCTCTTTGAAGTATTTCACATATCTGGGAATCTGATGCAATCTTCAGAGGATATGAGGAAAATGTTCCCGTTATGAAAACAATAGAGAATGTTCCCCATGTACACTGTTTGCAAATGCCCCATAAGGATTCACTTATTTAAGAATGAAGATAACCCCTGAAAATAAAACAATAAGTCAATACATGCTGATCTTCTGCTGTGCTGCCTTCACTGTCTATGTTACAGCTTAACACCTTTCCTCTCTGAGATGTTTCTCTCTGCCTGTGCATAGTGACTTCTCAGGTCTGTTTGTGGTATGAACCCCCTCTTCTGTTGATGTGTGGACATTACTTTCTACCATGTCCCTTTTGCAGGCACGTGCACACATAGACATCAAAGTGGGCTTGAGCCCCTGCCCCTTTTCTTCCTCCAGAGAAAGTGCCCTTTTTCCCCCCTTTTTTTTATTTTTATAAATGAATATATATCTCCTGCTGTTTGCGCACAGTTTGCCTTTCCAAAAATATATTGATTGAATACAAAATAAAAATATCAGGTCGGGAGATTAGACTGAAGTTCCGTAGCTCTCCCTCCCTCCCTCCACGTCTCCTGCACAGCGGTGCGGACATCAGTCACTTCAGACAGACAGGTAGCAGCACCTCCCACTTTACTGTCCCATGTTATGCCGGCTTTTCTTGGCTTGTTTAAAGGTGAGTGGAGATGAACAAATGACTAATCTGCCAGTGCCTCGAAATTACAGCTAATTAACTAAAAGACAAAAACAAATATAGTTAATTAAGGTATGGCTACTAGCTAATGGATAAGTTAGCTCAAGGTTTAGCTAAGGCAATTTATCATGGGCATACAGGCTAATGTACTTAAGGGGAGACACTTAAAGTGAATACAGTAAAATGTGTATCTAATAACGTCATCACAATTGCCCCATTGATATGCAAATTAGGCTTTTAACTAGGCATAATTAAAATGCGCTAATTTGCATGCAGTTACCAAGGCATTGCAGGTGAAAAGGATAAAACAAAAAAACATATCACCTCACAACTTCCCCAGACAGTTACTTACATCAAGTCAGTATTTTCCCCGGAAATGTTATGTTTAAATTAGATTGTAGAATTCTGTTGAGTATTAAACAATTGTACGGAGCCCCCTAAGGGACATGGAGAAGAAAAAATAAATGATATGAAAAAAATAAATAAAAATGTTTTGCGAGATATCGCAAAACCCGTTGCAGTTTGTAGACGGTCCCTAAGCACTCCTCTCCCTCCTCCAGCTGCAGATTGTGACCAATTCTTGATAGCTCGGATGACGGCGCGTATCGAACTGTTCTGATAAAAACGACTCTGTAGCTCGTGGTCTACCTTGCTATGATCGTAAAGTCATGTTGTTTGTATTTTTACTACGTTATGTTCATGAGTTATTGATCCGCGAAATTCGAATCTGTCAATAACTCAGCTCAGAGGGACGTGCATGTCCCCTCGCTCTGAGTGTTCTCTTGAGGTGTCTTCACTTATGTGAAACCCGTGCCTATTACCAAGCACTGATGTTATATATTTATATTTAAGGCCAAGCTCAAAGTAAAATCGATGAACCGCTCCATTGTTGTGGTTTCTGTGTTGCCGTAGCAGCCGAACAGACCAGGAAGTACATTGAGCTAAATGAAAAGTATTGCGAGATCTCGCAAAGCATTTTTTTTTTTCAAATAATTTTTTTTTCTCTTCTCCATGTCCCCTAGGGGGCTACGTACAATTGCTTGAGTGTGAGGGTATTAAAATAAATTGGTCAGTAAGTCAGAGATGTGCAACTATATTTAACTTTTTGTTTTAAAACATTTTTTTATAAATGATTATGGGAAGTGCCCTTTTTCTCACTTGAGCACCCGCCCCCCAAAATGTCTGTGCACGTCCCTGCCCTTTTGTATGAATTGTTTTGTATATATGAGGGTCGATGTGCGAACATTTGACTTTGCAGCCTTTTTGGACAGATAAATATTGTAACAGAGAGTTTTATCACAATGGATATTTGGTCAATAAAAGGTGAAATGATCTTCATTACAGGAATGACATGTACTATTTTCTTACTACAGAGGTTTGTTGGATCGGGTGTGAGAGTGAGTGAGTGAGTGAGTGAGTGAGTGAGTGAGTGAGTGAGTGAGTGAGTGAGTGTGTGTGTGTGTGTGTGTGTGTGTGTGTGTGTGTCTTCACCTGAGGCCATACTGTTTGAGTGAAGGCCACACACAGATGACAGGAGAGGGGGGGACAGCAGCAGGAAGTGCTTCATGGTCTCTGACATCATCACATCTCCATCATGCTCAGATGACGGCTGATTCACGACCGTGAGACACTTATCTTTCAGAGCGGAACCCAAACTCCTGCACAACACTTAAGAAAGACAGACAGTGTTACAGACAACGAACAAATGCAGCAGAAAGAAAGGTTTGTTTCCCCACAAACCTTTCTTAAAGTTGCAAAAATTGCAGTGCAATGTTCTGATGACCGGATTAAGATTCAAAGCTTGTGACGATTCATTATCTTCAGTTATGCTGATGGTAGATTGTGGTGTTGACTTGTGAGTGTGTTTTTGGTGTCATGTTCCTGTAAGTATTTGTAAGCAGCTGTGACTGACAGACCATCACATTCTTTGAATAAGGGGCAGGTCAAATAAGATGTTCTTCTCCCTGCTCCTTTCCATCATGGGCTACAAACTGAGTAAAGTGTACATGTTTTTCTTTAATAATAATTGGCATGTGTGGAATACACTAATAAATACATAAATAGATTATCACTGAGTATCTGCTGATCAGCAATTATACAAAAATGACATCAAATAAAGGAATGCTTCATAACTTACATAATGCCAGAACAACTCAGCTCTGCCTGCTGCTGTCAAATTCAACCACTGTGATGACACTGTGTGTGTGTGTGTGTGTGTGTGTGTGTGTGTGTGTGTGTGTGTGTGTGTGTGTGTGTGTGTGTGTGTGTGTGTGTGTGTGTGTGTGTGTTTACCATTGTCCCACTGAGCATGTGCAGTGACCACTAACACATACAGACTGAAGTCCTGCAGCATGGTCCGGCACTCCTCAGGGATCAGATCTGCAACAAACAGCACAACGTCGTCATGGAGATTGAACAGAGGACTGGATCATCTCTCTTACAACATAACTAACTGGGGTAGGAACTAAAATGTTACAATTACTTATTTTTGTATTGCTTACACAGATTTTTGAAAACATTGCTCATTTTCTCAAAACACTTAACATAATTAACAAAACCACACACCTAAGGTGCAAAACATCTCATGTATCATCAGAATGAAGCACTGCACTCAAAACTACATAAACACTTACCAAAACAAAACTTTTGGACACACACACTTCCTTTATACTACACAACTCTTCCAATCTGTCCAATCAACTACACACTGATGTGCTCAATCAAAAGCACACTCATATTCTAAGGGCTTTGTTCTGTATGTAGATAATTCTGTCTACAAAAATATGTGCAGAAACACTAATAAACTGTAGAAACTAAAAAATATATATATTTTTCTACACAACTTATTAGCACAACATGTATGCACAGCAAATACAACTAGAGAATGCAATTCCTGAAGAAATTGCTAGTGGGAATGCTTTATGCTGAAAAGCTGACGCTGAATTGCTATGCTGAAATGTAATGTGTAAGAAGAAAGTGAAGACTTTAGATTGAAATGATTCATGAACACTGGGGGCTTGAATGTGTGATGAGAGAAGAAAAGAAAGTAAAAAGGCTTGGAAAAGCAGCAGAATATTTGAACGGCAAACTATTGAACTAACTTGATGGCGAATGATCTGTCGCCATGGCAACGGTATTTGATGACACCCCATAATACACTTAGATATGTTGATTGTTACCAAACCTGTTTAGTTTTGGGCTTTTTGGAGCATTTTCACTGAAGTTATGAGAAAACCGTGTTTCATGGCGAGCATTGTGTTGCCATGGCAACGGCATTTGAAGAAATCTCAAAACTGTCCCGTAGATGTCTTCACGGCTGGACTGTTAGCACACATGTGAAATTTTAGCACTTTTCAACAATTTTCATAGGAGTTATAGCAATATCGTGTTTTATTGCAAGAGATGCGTTGCCATGGAAACAGCTTTGAGTAAAACTCACTAATGGCACATACACATGTTGAGGGCTGGAGCATTAAATGTCATCTGAAGTCTGGTGGTGTTTTGACCATTTTTATATCAGTTACGACAACATCGTGTTTTTTGGCGAGGGATACGTTTCCATGGAAACAGCCTATGGTGAGATCTCAGATTTGGCGTAAAGCTGTTGGGCATGGACCGGTGATATACAAGCGAAGTTTGGGGACGATCGGACCGTGTCCATTGGAGTTACAGCGACATTGTGTTTCATGGCGAGGGATGCGTTTCCATGGAAACGGCATATGACGACACCCCATAATTGACAGAGCTGTTGAGGGTCGGACCATTAACCATTATCTGAAGTCTGGTGCTGTTTTGGACCATTTGCATAGGTATCGCGACAACATCGTGTTTTATGGCGAGGGTTGAAGTCTGCTGCTCTGAGCATGTCAGTTGGAGTTATGACATCATCGTGTTCCATGACACAGGTGTTTATATTTGAGCTAACGACATGTCCAGAGATCAAAGGTTTCCATGGTGATGTGCAGTAATCAGTGAGAGGAGAGCATTTTCATTGTTCTGAATGAGAGATAAACCTCTTACATGTGAACGTTTTGTTAAAGAACCGTAACAGATATCGGTGAATTTCAAAGCATGAAGCATGTCAAGGACCTTGAGCATCTGAAGTGTACTTTTTGTGTACTTTCGGGTCAATAATGTGGCCTTTTTGGCAGATTAACTAAAGGTGTGCGGCTGCTGTGGTGGGGAAAGATAAGGCTGAACTTACAATGGGGTTTAATGGAGACATGTTTGTCACTACCTGATCCGTCCCCCTGCCCGATCTGTACTGCGCATGTGCGAGATGGTCCGCCATATTGGACAACTCCGGACGGCAACCCAAGTAGGACCCTTGACACAGTGGCTTTTGGCAAAGCTCAAAAATAAAACTCGAGGAGATGAGTTATTTTTATTACAACGTGACTTCACTATTATTTAACAACTCTTTTTATTGGGTTCTTTTATTTGGGGTTAAGTACATTGTCAGAATAAGTGAAAAATGAATTTAACTTCTGTTAGACAGCTATCATACTGAATAAATATTTACTGTGAATGTATGCAAAAATGTATGGCATATCCATGTCCAACAGAAGTTAAATTCATTTCTCACTTATTCTGACAATGTATTTAACCCCAAATAAAAGAACCCAATAAAAAGAGTTGTTAAATAATAGTGAAGTCACGTTGTAATAACAATAACTCATCTCTCTCAAGTTTTATTTTTGAGCTTTGCCAAAAGCCACTGGCCGTTTCTCAATCTCGAGGATGCTGGCTTGGTAGTGGCGTACTTACAAGTCACTTCCTTCAGAAACGAAGCAAGTATGCTTCCAGGCCACAGCTTCGGAAAACGAAGAAGAATGGAACAGGCTAACAAGTGTGCCACTCTCTCTAACGGTTTCAACATAAACTGTACCGAAAATAAATACCTCACGATGTCTATCTAATTATGAACTTACTTTACTTTCACGGAACACATTTTTGGTGATAACAAATGTAACAAAGTAACATATTTACCAACACATGTTCTACGCCACTACATACTTACATTTCAATGTGTGCTGCGTCGGTTCAGCCATTCTCCGCAAGGGTTTTTGAAATTGGTCCGTGCGCAAAGCATTGTGGGGATTTTAAGGACGCGAAGTCTACCCATGTGCAGCCTCGAAATTTCCCCCAAACCAAGGACGCGGCCTCGGTGGAATTCCAAGTATGCTGGAGATTGGAACAGTCCTTCGGCGGCACTCGATGACGTAGCATCCTTGAAATATTGGCTTGGAAGCCAGTATCCTCGAGATTGAGAAACGGCCACTGTGTCAAGTGTCCTACTTGGGTTGCCGTCCGGAGTTGTCCAATATGGCGGACCATCTCGCACATGCGCAGTACAGATCGGGCAGGGGGACAGATCGGGTAGTGACAATGTTGAAAGTTGTTGTCACTTCATGCCTTCAAGAGGCATTTTGTTTAATTATTTTGCTTAATTATTATAATTGTTTTCCTACGTTTGTCATGAAAAATTATGTCTCAGGAATATAGGGTTTGGGAATTATGGCAGGTTTAAAAGAAAATATGAAGGCAAAATTAAATCTGTCCTCCACTCTAGCTGTGACATCACGCACTCTAAAATCTGAAGAAGGCCTCTTTACCAAGGTCTGAACAATGCTTAATATCTCTAAAAGTACGAATCAGATTCAAAGGTTGTGTTACACAAATAATGTCAAAAAGATGTAGTACCGGCAGGACTCATTTTTGCATTGTGTTCACCTCTGGAGTACTGCTTGTTGGTCACACTGTGTTAGCACACCGGACATTATCTTGTTACCTGTGTTTGAAGCGGGCCTCATGCTGTGCAGGATGTGGAACCC